AAATTAAAGTTATTTAAATATCATAATATATTTACTAAATAAATAATAAATTTCTTTTATAATATTTTAACAACTGCCTTAAAACTGTATATAAAAATTAAAGTTATTTAAATATCATATTATATTTACTAAATAAATAATAAATTTCTTTTCTAATATTTCGTGCAAAGTCTATTTTTTATTTTAGTCTGTGTGTCTTAGTCGATAAAAAGATATTAACAAATTTGCAAGTCATTATTTTATATTTTCTCTTCTATACCAGTGTGTATATTAAAAAGAAAATGTGTTATAATTTTTCTAGGAAAAATTGGGAATTTTATATTTTTGCCCCCAATTACGTGTAATGCAAATCCGCCATAATTAGTCGTATTGAATCCTTCGTTGTTTAATAAAAGTGGAGTATGTGGTCAGAAAAATGACCTAATTTTTATATTTAAAATAGGGATAAATATAAAGATTCTTTCAAAATTGTGAAATTTCTCATAATTCGAATCAGATCATCGGCTGTACGACGTAATACAAAATAATGAAAGGGTTGAAGAATTGAAAGGGATAATGCAATCGACGATATCCCTGTGAACGTTCAAGATATTATTTAAAATTGTACCACTTCTCCAGCATTTTATTTCGCGAGAAAACAGCGGCCATCTTCGCGGGTACACCTATAATTACACCGGATAATTGAATTTCGACACGGACCATCCATTATCACCGACGGCAGATAGCTCAAGAAAACGACTCAAGTCGAAGAGGAAAAAAAAATTTCGTCCACTTGCATCCATTTCACCTGAATGTAAATTTATGCTAATATTCGTTATTTCCATTCTTATTCCATGTTTCCACCGCTATTCGATCGACACACAAGTTCTGCGCTTTGCATTTCTTTCATCTTTCCCGCCATTTTAATTATTTCCCGGATTAATTCTTCCTGGCAGCTCGATGATTCTCGCGAATTTTATTCTTCGTTAAAAAATAAAAATTCGCAGCTTGGAATATCGTAATATCGAAAATCACTCGTGACAACAAATTTTATTTAATAATTGTTAATTATTAAATTATTAAATAATATTTATATGAATTATAAATTAATAATATGATTACTTATTAATAATATTAATTATTAAATTGTTAAATTATTAAAATAGCGTTAGATAGGAAATAAAAAAATCGATAAATAAATATATTATAATACTATAATATAACTATAATAATATTTAAAACAGCTGAAAAGTAGCTGAAGAAATAAAATAATTTAAATACCCAAAAATATTTAGGTTTATATCCATTTAGGGACCAATTCAGGTACCATTTTGGTATCAACTCGATAATAACACTAAAATTAGTGTTAATTATAGATACAAATAGATAGATATTAAAAATCGGAGGATATCTAAAAACAGAGATAAATTTACAGATATAAAAGATAAAAATTAAAAGTTGGAGGTTGATCTTTCATTGCAAGAGAATCATCGAATTATCAAGCAGGATGATTGCATTAAAAAATAAAATGGGGGAGAAAAATGTTTCCGATGGAGGAACGGAGGATATTGGTATTTATGAGAGAAGATGAATTAGTATACTAAGTGTTATAGATCGGCTTATGTCTGTACAATTTTAGCGGAAGCAAGTCAGAAGGAAGATCGATGGTGGTTTCAATATCGTTTCTGGCTTTTGTCTCGAATTTTCATAAATTACCCTGCACGATGTTACTTGTATCGTAATAAAATTCGAATACAGGGATGAAGGAATGCTTCATAAATTTATCGCGAGTCATCGTTGCATAAATTAAATTAGAAGATCGATGACTGTTTGGTCTCCTTTCCGGCTTGTATTTCATAAGTTACTTCGAGTGACATTATTTCTCTAATAATTCGAACTTAACAGGCAATTAGATAAATCTTCGAACGAAATTAAATTATTACTCATATTCACGGAGACTATACGATAAATCATTATCTCTCTAGATAATACTGACTCTAATTCCCGCCAAAGTGACGAATAAAAATTCCCATTAAAATTAAAAATATTGAAATAACAAATTTCATTGACAAATTATCCTTTCATTTTACAATCTCTATTCTAAATAAACCAAATTCAGTGACGCACAATACTTCTATTATCTCATTACCACTATATAATTATTTTCCTACGTTGGCATTGGTAGATTTCCGATTCGTTTTTCTAA